AAGCAGCTTTCACGACCACTGCAACCAACTGGGGCCTTCCCTTCTAGCAAATGACTGAAGTTTAGTTACAACAAGCCATCCGGATATTCTCACAGTGTTAGACCATTTGTATATCGGCCTTCTAACGCTCCAACATACTGCTTGTAGATGATACCCCAACATCATAACTTATTATCCTGTGCCGACAGAGATGAGAATTAGTGCTGGGTAGAATCCAGATCCCTTGATGTTCTCGAGTACCATAAAGTGCAGAATAAAGAACGAGGCGAGATTTGGCTGCGATTGAAAGAGGAGGATTGGGGCCTCCGGCGTCGAAGTCGGTAACTACGTTTTTGGCGGCGGCGAAAACAAATACCAGCGTTGAGAGAGGTTTCTGATCGGTGCAGAGAGGAGAAAGATAGCGCCCGACCTTTCACGTCAGCAACGCCGCCGTCGCGATCTACAGGCGAAGCACTTGCTGTTCTTACGAGACGACGTGAAGAGGTTAGAAGGTTCAGATTGGGCGGCGCTGAGGAGAAGGAGCCGACGAGGAAGGAGATCGAGAGACGGCTGCAGGCTGAATATTGATTTTTTTATTTGTTAAATATTGTGTTAATGGACCCTTTTACCCTTGTTGTTACTATAACAACAAAGGAGGTGTTGTTATAGTATCCGAACCCCTGATGAAAGGACTGTGGGAAGAATATACTAAGTTCAACTCAATTGTGCCATGTACATGTGCACCAGGACAAATTCTTCCATTTCCAGCTGTTGAAGCATTTAAGGCTAAACAAGAGACAGACTATCTTGTGAGGTTTCTGAGAGGAGTAGGACCAACTTTTGATGTGGTTAAAACTCAGCTGTTGATGATGAAACCATTGCCTACAGTGGTTGCGGCTTATGGTGATCTTTTACACCATGAGCAGAAGTTGAAATCTGACAAAGGGAAAGGTGGACAATCAGTAGTTTTGGCATCTTTTGGTAACCAGTCTGGTCAAGGCAGTGGAAATTGTGGCAGGAAAGCCTCAAGACCAAACATAACTGAAAGAAATGAAACTTGTCTTTTCTGCAAATATTGCAAGAAGACAAATCACAACATAGCTGATTGTTGGAAAAAATGAAAAGGAAAAACAAGGAGCAGATCAGTGGTGGCAATCCACACTTTGCAGGAGCAGTTAATGAAGGGGATGATAGCATGGCTGAGGTGCAATCAAGTCATGGATCCGGTAGCCAAAATTCTGGAGGAAGTAACAATGTTGGTTCTGGAAATCTGATAAACATGCAGCTTACTGGAGATCAGCTGAATCGACTCAGACTCTTACTACAAGAAGTTCCCAGTCCACCTTCCTCCTCTCCTTCACCACCACATTCACCAAACATCAGGCATACAACATTTTCAGCATCACAGCAGCTACCTCATTTCCCTAATTCAGCTGGTAAATTCATTCTATCCTCATTTGTTCACTGCCATTCAGCCACCCTTATGCACTCTTGGATACTAGATACAGGAGCTTCAGATCACATAGCTTGTTCTAAGAACCTTTTTGTTTCTTGCAAACTTGTTGAGAGTGTCTCAGTATACCTACCAAATAACACCAAAGTGCCTGTTTCTCATATAGGATCAGTTAGATTGCCAAATGGCATGTCCTTACACAATGTTTTGCTGATTCCTAGCTTTACTTTTAATTTAATTTCAGTGAGCAAATTGACACATGATCTGCCAGTGTCACTAAACTTCCAATATAATTCTTGTCTTGTCCAGGACCTTGTAACCAACAGGATGATTGGCTTGGCAAGACAAAGTAGAGGTCTGTACCAGTTAGTTCCAAATCCAGAAAGTCAGACTTGTCATTCAGTAGCTTCTGTTTACAATTTTGAGCCACAGCAAATCAACCTTTGGCATTGGCGTCTAGGACATCCAAGCTCCAACAAGATTCAGTTATTAGAACAATGTAATCCTTTAGTTAAGCATGATAAAGTTAAGCATTGTGAAGTTTGTCACCTTTCAAAGCACAAACGTTTACCTTTTGTTTTGAGTGAGAATTCTGTTGTTAGTACCTTTGATCTAATCCATGTTGACATATGGGGGCCCTTGGCAGTTGAATCTTATGATGGATATTCCTATTTTCTTACTGTGGTAGATGATTGTTCTAGGGTTGTATGGACATATTTGATGCAACATAAGTCTGAGGCAAGATCCTTGCTGCAAGGTTTTTGTTTGATGGTACAAAAGCAGTTTTCTAAATCTGTCAAGATCATAAGGAGTGATCAAGGCAGGGAGTTTCATATGCATGATTTTTATCATGAACAAGGTATAGAACATCAGATGTCATGTGTGGCAACTCCAGAACAGAATGACAGAGTGGAAAGGAAGCACCAGCACATATTGAATGTGGCTATGGCACTTAGATTTCAATCCAACATACCTTTACAGTTTTGGAGTGACTGTGTTTTACATGCAGTGCACTTAATTAACAGATTGCCTACACCTATTTTAAAGAATAAGAGTCCTTATGAAGTTTTGTATCAAACTCCTCCATTTCTGGGACACCTGAAGGTTTTTGGGTGTTTGGCTTATGCTTCCACACTGAGTAGTGGAAGAACTAAGTTTGATAGCAGGGCCAGATAATGTATTTTTCTGGGATAACCTCAAGGAATCAAAGGGTTCAAACTTTTTGATTTAACCACACATGACACTTTTGTGTCCAGGGATGTTGTTTTCTATGAGGATATTCTTCCTTTTCATGGTATTTTAGATGATACAGAATCTACTCCTACCTTCCCTAATTTACCCACCATACTTTTTCCTTCCTCTTCTCCTCTTGATCCTCATGCTCATGGGGGCCAACCCAGTTCTGAACAGCCTGCTTCTTCTTCTCATTCTCCCACTCCTTCTCCTATTCTACATGATTCAACATCTCCCTTTTCACCAGTTTTATCTCCCTCTACAGACAATACTCCTGATCCCATCTCTGACTCTGATACTGATGTTGAGCTTGATCATCATGAGTTAGAAGATGAACTGCTTCCAGGAGATGAATTTGATGAAGAAGAATTGCCTCCAAGGCATAGAAGGCCACCTGTATGGCATAAAGACTATCTTACGTCAGTTAATCAGATCAGTCAGTATTGCATGGCAAACTACATTTCATATCATTAGTTCACTCCTCAACAAAAGAGATATGCCATGAGTCTGACAGCAATCATGGATCCTAAGACATACAAAGAAGCAGCTAAGGAACATCATTGGATTAAGGCTATGGAAGAAGAGCTAAATGCTCTAGTTGAAAACCATACATGGGATTTGGTTTACTTACCATTTGGAAAAAGAACCATTGGCTGCAAGTGGGTATTCAAAACCAAGTTGAGACCAGATGGTTCTATTGAAAGGTATAAAGCCAGGTTAGTTGCAAAAGGCTTTACACAAATATATGGGATAGATTTTCTGGATACTTTCTCACCAGTTGCCAAAATCAATACTGTCAAGACACTCTTGGCTGTTGCAGCAGCCAAGAACTGGAACTTACATCAAATGGATGTGTCAAATGCATTTTTGCATGGTGACCTGGATGAGGAAGTGTACATGTCACCACCACCTGGTTTAGAGGGAAGTGAAGGAAAGGTTTGTAGGCTCAGAAAGTCCTTGTATGGACTGAAACAAGCTAGCAGGCAGTGGTTTGCCTAGCTAACTTGTTCATTACTGAAGAATGGTTGCTCACAATCAGCTTCTGATTATTCCATGTTCACAAAGAAAGTGCAGGGTAGAATGGTTGTTCTACTTGTGTATGTTGATGATATAATTCTGGCAGGAGAGAAGCTTGATGATCTGGAGTTGGTAAAGCTGTTCTTGAAAAGGAGTTTCAAGATCAAAGACCTAGGTGTTTTGAAGTACTTTCTGGGTCTTGAGATAGTAAGAAATGCATATGGAATTGTTGTGAATCGGAGGAAGTACTGTTCAGAGTTACTTGAAGATGCAGGTTATGTAGAAGCTAAGGAAACACAAACACCTATTGACATGAAGGTGAGGCTTAGTTCTACACAAGGTTCTCCACTGGAAGACCCTAGCAGCTAAAAAAGGCTTATTGGAAGACTTCGCTACTTAACCATTACAAGACCAGACATATGTTTTACTATTCAGCAGTTGAGTCAGTTTCAAGGAAACCCTCTTGATACTCATATGCAAGCAGCACAGAGAGTGCTTAGGTATTTGAAGAAATCTCCAGGACAGGGCATTCTGTTTAGAGCTGCATCTGATCCTGTGATCACTGGTTACAGTGATTCTGACTGGGCAGCATGACCAGACACTAGAAGATCCATTACATGATTCTGCACTTACTTTGGAAACTCATTGCTTACATGGAAAAGTAAAAAGAAAACAACTGTTTCCAAGTCTTCATCAGAAGCTGAATATCGAGCTTTGGCTCATTTGGTGTGTGAGATTCAGTGGTTGAAGGGGCTGTTATCTGAGTTAGGAATTCAAGTTAAGGTTCCAATTACAGTCTACTGTGATAACAGATCTGCAATTCACATTGCAGAAAACCCCTTTTTTCATGAAAGAACAAAGCATGTCGATATTGATATGTATGTGACTAGGGAAAGAATTAAAACAGGTATGATTCAGTTAGCCTACCTCCATACTTCAGATCAGTTAGCTGATGTTTTTACTAAGGGTGTTAGCAAGTACAGATTGTTGGAATTGCTTGGCAAGATGGGAGTAATTGATGTTTACTCGCCATCTTGTGGGGGCCTATTGGAGAATCAGCCTGAATCCAGAAGAACAGCTGCAACAGCCATTCAACACTGCAATATTGGTCAGCCTAGGATTGAAGATGGTCAGCAGCATTTGCACGATGGACTGAAATGGAGAAGGATAGAAGTTTGGAACTAATCTGGCATTTGTGCGTTTGTGTGTACGATGCTGTTTTGCTTTCTTTGATTGTTTAATCCTCTGTTTTGGATTAGTTGAGAATAAGCCAATTCCCACCAGCCAACTGTCGGGCTTTGGTTAATGGAATTCAATTGGCTGTTAACACTGTTGATTAGCCGTTGGAGTTTCATATAAATACAAAAACCCTAAAGAGAAGACGTCAGTTTTTATGTTGCTCTTCCACCCAAATCTCGTCTTCTTCTGCTTTTCTTAGGAACCGTTACCCTCCCCGCCGGCAACGATCCAACCTCAGATGTCGTCTCCGAGGACATCGCCTGCTCAACCCACCCAACCCTTTCCGCCTGCATCTAAGCCTGCCGTCCGTCATCTCTGTTGGGAAGAAGCTTCCCCTCCTAATTTACATCAACGAAGATGGGTTCTCCGTCGAGAGACATGAAATAGAAGAAGAGAAAATGAATGGGTTTCTCTACAGAGAAAGGGGCAAGAAACAGGGTCGGCCAATCAATTCTGTAGGCCCTGTTCCATAATGAAGATGTGGCCTATCTTTCTATTTTTATAAAATAAAAATAATTATATTGATCAAATAATTTTTTTTACAATGTTACTTAAAAGTAATATCCTTCTTGCATTGTTTGAAATAAAAGTATCTATAAGCTCTTCGACTTTATATTCTCTAGGAGATTATTCTCAATCGACACCATAGCTAATCCATTAAGCCTTTCTTGTGTCATTGTAGAACGCAAATAGGACTTCAGCAACTTCAACTTAGAAAAACTTCTCTCTGCAGTAGCAACAGTCACAGGAATAATCAACTATCAGGGAATAAAAAATTAATTTTTGAATTTTATTTATTTTCTAACAATAAAAATAATAAACGAAAAAAATTAATTAAAAGAGATCTCCAAATTATTTTTAATTATTAATGGGACCCCAAAATCAGTACTGTCTCTACAATTCAAAACGCTCTCTCCTCTCTCTAAAAGTCCCTTTTCAGCTCCTCCTTGAGGGCTGCTGCCGGCAGCGTCCGGTGGCGACCCTCCCTTCGTCCTTCCTTTGTATGCACTTTTTTCAGTTTATGCGTTTTTCTTTTACTGTTTCCAGTCCCCTTTGTGGGTTTTCCTTGTCTCCTTGTGGATCTTTTCTTTGTTCTGTCTCTTTGGATGGATCTTTCCTCGTTCAAGTTCTGTTCTGAGTTTCAGATCTTGAAAGCTTGGAGCTTTCGGTCCAGTTGCAGAGGGGGTTGTTGATTTTTCTCCAATTCATCTTCTTTCCTTGAATCTTTCATCTACCTCCTTGTTTCATCCAACAGATCGCGATGATCCGGAGATTCGGTAGTCTTCCTTTGTGAATCGGCTCAGATGCGGTTCTTGGAATCGAAGATAGGGACTCCTCGCTCAGAGATCGTTGCATGCTTTGTTTCTGGGTTCTGCCAAGTCCTTCGGTGGTCATCTCCTTGTTGAGGGTGTTGCTTTGTCATCATCCACGGCTCGTCTCTGCTGGGTTTGCAGTTCCCCTGTTTTCCTAGTTGGCAGCTTCTTTTGGTCTTGGCAGTTTGTTCTTCTCGGCAACGGCGGCGATCTCTTTGTGGGGTTGCATTTCAGATAGAGTTAGGATTGGCTTTCCTCCATGTGGGCCTCCATTGTGAGCTTTCTTGTGTATTTTCTGGTTTGTGGTGGGATTACATGTTTTAGGCCTCTCCTTTTGCCTTATTTGATTTGATTGTCTTTCTTTGGACCTAGTCCAAAACTCTGTAATTATTTCTCAGTTATTGAAACTGTGTTTGTAAAAAAAAAAAATTTTTAATTAATTTTAGAAATTAAAAAAAATTCAAAAACTCAAAAAATTATTTTTTTATTTCCTAATAGCTGACGTGGCAAGTGAGGTGGACTTTGACTAACGGTAAACTCAGTTGACCGTTTAATTTGACGGTCAAACCCACCTCCGGGCCAAATAAGAAAGTATGCTACATAGTTTAAGCCAGAATAACAATTTCCGATATCATGGACCTAAATAGAAAGTTTGTCTATAGTTCGAGCCAAACTAATGTATTAACCCTAAAACAAAAGATAAAACTATTATTTCACTAAAAATAATGCTACAAAAATATTTAAAAAAAAAACAATCACAATACGCCAAATCCTTACCAGTCCCTAAAATATGTGACTATCCACTAGCCACGCGCTGCAATTTCAGCTCCTCAATCAAAGAACTCAAATCATTGTAAGAAGACCCTCCTTCCTCCACAGCTTTCCTCGCCATCTCCCCCAAACCCTTCGCCCTCCGCCGCATGTCCTCGACCTCTTGGTCGCCCGTCGACATAATCCTCCTCACAGCTCTCTCCACCTTCCCGCTCTCCACCGTCACCCCATAAACCGCCGCCTGCTCCGCGCCAACCCCGACCCCGATCCTCACCACCTCCGTCACCAGCTTCTCGTTGTAAAACTGCTCCGCCGACACCGGCCACGTCACCATCGGCAGCCCCGCCGTTATCCCCTCCAGCGTCGAGTTCCATCCGCAGTGCGTCACAAACGCCCCCACCGCCGCGTGCTCCAGGATCAAGACCTGCGGGGCCCACCCGCGAATAACCATCCCTCTCCCTTTCGTCCTCTCCTCGAACCCTTCGGGCAGCCAGCTGTCGTCGCCCTGACCGCCCCTGACCACCCATATGAACTGCTGACCGGACGCTTCCATCCCAACCGCGATCTCCCGCAGTTGCTCGGCGCCGAAGTTCGAGCCGCTGCCGAAGCACGCGTAAACGACGGCGTTCCGCTCCCTGGAGTCCAGCCATTCCAAGCACTCGTCCTGGTCAATTGCGGCTTGCTTCCCCCGGCTGGCCTTATCCTCCACGTCAGCGTTGGCAAGCGACACGGGCCCCACGTGCCACGCCTTCCTTCCCAGAGCGTTCCTGAAGTGGTCAGCGTAAGCCGGCTCCAGCTCGTAGAAGCTGTTGACCACGGTCCCGTACCCTTCGGAGTTGGTCTCCGTGACTCTCCGGAAAAACTCCGACATGAAATCGACGTCCCCGCCGCCGACGACGACGGCCACCTGAGCAGCCGACGGCGGGAGCTGGCGCTTCGTCAGCCGGATCTCATGGGGGAGGCCGGGGAGCGAGAACGGCTCGGTGTCGGAGGAGACGCGGTTCTGCGGCTCGTGAGCGGCGACGGCGGCGCTGGCGGAGAGGGCGAAGTAGCTGGTGCCGTGGAAGAGCAGCCTGGGGATGCCGAATTTCGCGGCGGATTCGGCGCTCCAGGGGAAGAACATGTCGGCGACGAGGCAGTCGGGCCGGTCCTGCTCGAGGAGGCTCTCGAAGGATTCCTGGAGGTGCGTGGAGGCCTTGAAGAATTTGGAGACGGCCCCCCACCCGAGGTTCCGGGCGCTGATGAAGTCGAGATTCTCGCATCCGTCGGGCAGGCCGACCCGGGACGCGGGGAAGTCGAGGGTCCGGGTGAGGATCTCGGCCCGACCCGAGGAGGAGGAGTGCTTCCGGGTGGTTTTGGAGAAGAGAGGGGCGTTGAGTGGGGTGGTGACGATGGTGGTTTTGACGCCTCGGGATGCGAAGAGCTTGGCCATGTCGACGGCAGGGATCAGGTGGCCGTGCGCCATGAACGGGAAGAAGTAGACGTGAAGCTGGCGGTCATTCTCATTCCCCATTTCGCTTTTTTTTTTTTTTTTTTTAATCGGAGGGAAGAAGAAAGAAATGATGGATGGAGTGGAGAGCTTGCTAATCTATTGCCTTCCGGGAGATCAGATTTTATAGCGGGAAATGAAATAGATTAGATTATTTTGCTTCTCGTCCATGCCTAGGCTGGGCTGTTTCATTTTTTATTTGTTTACTTGAGAGCGTTTTGTTGTTTCCGAGGAGTGGTTTGATTGAGGGAGCTGCTGCGTTCGTCACTGCTGACCACTGTCGCGCACCTACTTACGTTACGTGGTTGGATTCTTTCTCGTCTCCGGCGGCATCTAGCAGGCTTTGGAACGTGAGGAATAAGTGTACAGTTGGTCTCCATTATTGGTCCTCGGTCATACCTATTGAAATTTAGGGTTGGTTTGGAAGTTGCGATTGTTAAATAGAAGTATTGTTGAGAATGCATGTATAATATTATACATGTATTGTCGAATTTGATGCATTGTAGAATACAACGTTTGGTATGTGTGATTGTGTATGTCGCATCAGCTAAAAGCTGAGACAAAACAATCTCAACTCAACTATCTCAACAATCACAACTAAAAGTTGAGATATAACAATCACTCAAAATGAGCGATAGTTTCTGTCACATCACAGAAACATTCCATGTATTGTTTCTGCTAAAAAAAACAAAAAAACGATGCATTATAAACAATACATGCATAACAACAATTTCAACAAACAATCGTAACTTCTAAACGACTCCTTAAAACACTAATTACAGGAGAATTTAAAAAAAACACTCCTAATTTTGTCATTGGAGGTAAACGGGAAGGAAAGTCGTCCACCAAACTGAGGGAAACGAATATTTTGACCACGGCAAATGAACAATAGTCATAGAAAAAGAAAAACACAATCGAGAGGGATATATATATCCGGATCCATCCATTATGTAAATCTTCAAAATAGTGCTGAAAACTTATTATTAGAAGACTAGCTTTGTTGGCCGGCACTGTTATTGATTTGGGGTTTTGTGACTTTTTTTATGTTTATATATTTTTTTCTATTTATGGTTTGAGATATTATAACAAACTATAAATCTTGAGACCGCAAAAAATATTATATCACGGGAAAAATTAATATTCAAATTTAGATCTTAATATATGGAATTTAAATTTGTAAGTATTTGTATCGATGTCCAAAATTTATGCACCTGGTGGCATAGTTAGTAAAATACGGTACATGTGTAAGTTATGTATATAATATATATGAGTATTTTATATCGTCTATAAACTAGTGGTAAAGCTAAATTATTTTAAAATAATTAAGTCAAAAATTTATTCCATTAAATAAGAATATTGCACGTGTTAGAGGTGTTGTATACGTGCTAGGGTATCCATCTAATGAATGGGGAAAGCTGATATGGCTTGACAATAATACGACTATGAAAATCTTAAACAAAAAAAATACGTACGACCCTATATACATGTATTAACGAAGTATTTAGTATTTACTAATCATGACTAGTAGGTAAGACGACTGATTCCTCCTTTGGTTCGATCTTCGCACCATTTCCTCCAACGATCGACTCCGGGATTGGTTCCACCTGTTAGACTCTGAAACACATTGAAACACAGCAAATCTAGCGTAAAATCACACCTTCCGGAGCTCAATGCCACCAAAGTCAAAAATAAATGACGATTAAAAAATATACATTTAGGCCCGAATCACTTCTTTTCCTGGAAAATCCCTAGGGGTGGATTTTCGGTTATCTCGGTTATAACCGATAACCGAAATGTCGGTTACCGGTTAACCGCGACGACCAACAAGCCTACCGCCAACCGCCCGACAGAGCCCATCGGTTAATCGACAACCGACCGGTCGGTTACCGGTTAGTTGCTCGGTTAACCGAGTTAACTGCAAAATCGAAACTCAAAAAGGGGAACAGTCTGGTACAGGTTCGGTTGACTGACTCTCCTCTCTTCCCCACCCAAACCTGCTTCTTATTCTTCCTCCTCCTCCATATCTCTGCACCACTGAAACCCTAGCCCCCTTCAAATTCGTTGCCTTTTCCATCTCTCAACTCATTCGTCACCGGGATGGCGGCATCGACTCTCTCACTGTGGAGTCTCTTCTTCGCAGCGCTCGCTCTCCCATGCCCTGCTTCTCTCTCTCGTCAGTCCCTTTCTTTGATCTCTCTCGCTCGGCGCTGGAACGGCGCCGGAGGAACGGCGGGTGTTGGCTGCTCGTGGTTTGGTCGGGATCTCGGGGAGGAGATGGCGGAGCAGCAGGGGCGCCGGCCGCGGAGCGTGGAGGGAGATGGCGGAGGCGCGGTCCGTGGAGGGAGATGGCGGAGCAGCAGGCGGGAGGCGGCACAAAGTGCTCTTCCCGTCGCGATGCAGAGAAGAGAAGGGAAGGGGGTGGGCGGGGCGGGTGTCTTCGATGACGATTAGGGATTTGGGCCAGGTGAGTACTCTTGACGCCCACCTCCCCTGAAATTCACATTTACCTCTGGTTTTTATCAATTCGGCTTGGGGGAAACCTAGAAATTTAATTTATTGGGTGATGTGCAGGGCTGCCGTCGATGGCGAAGAGAGGGAGAATGGTGAAGTGCTCGGCGGAAGGAAACGGCAGCGGGTGGGAGAAGAAGGGGATTATGAGCGCTTCGCTGATGGCGGCGGTGGCTGCAGGTCTGGAAATGGAAAACCCAAAAACCCTTGGGAAAACCCCAGGCGATGAAGTGAAGCTGAATGAGGAAAGGAGGGGAGATTTTTTTGGCAGAGGAAGTCTACCCAAAGACAGAGAAGAAGAAGAAGAAGAAGAAGAGGTCACGGGCAGAGAAGAAGAGGAGAAGGCCGTTAAAAAGTTGGGACAGTGGGGAGAGTGAAGATATAAGAGGCAGGGGACAGAAAGAAGGAAAAAATCTCAAAGTACACTAGTTCTTAAAAAAAATTCCCAAAATACATAAGTTATAAAAAAAATTCCAAAAGTATACATGTTTGAGCATCATCGTTTTAGACAAAAGCGGTGAAGGTCATCACCGCGTTTGACGAACACGGTGAATACTTCACCGTTTTAAACAAAAACGGTGATGTATTCACCGTTTCAAACTAAAACGGTGAAGGGTTCACCGCGTTAATTAAGAACGGTGAACACCTCACCGTTTTAAACAAAAACGGTGAAGCCTTCACCTTTTTAGACATCCACGGTGAAGGCGCTGACGTGGACTAACGCGGGGTATTCACCGAGTTAGATAAACACGGTGAATACCCGTGTTTGTTTGCGTCAGCGATCCGCATCGCTGGCGCGTTCACCGTGTCCGTTGGATGCGATGAGGCGCGGATCGTGGTTTTCTTTCCAGATCCGACGCCTCACGCTGAGCCACGTCGCTCGATCCGCGCCTTATCACCGTGTTCGAGAAACGCGGTGCCTTCACCATTTCTGACGGACGCGGTGAAGGCTGGGAGAATTTAATTCTCTGCAGATCCCTTCCCCCCTTCCCCAACTATAAATAACCCTTCCCCTTTCACTTTCAACTCACACCAAAAATATTTCACTTCTTTCTCCCTCAATTTATCCGCTCTAGTCTCGTTCTAAGTATGCTCTGTGGTTGCGGCTAAGTCCGATCTTCCACATCAGAAAGAATTACTAGAGTTTGACCCTAAAGCCCCCGTCCCGCTAAGTTCCCGTCCCTTACAAACCTAAACCCGTCGAACCTCTGTCCGGCTTCCGCCAATAATGGACGAAGAGGCTCTTCGTGTAGGTTTTTGGTTTATGATTTTTTTTAATCGAAACAATTTGATTTTTTTTATCAAAACAATCTTTGATTTCATTACTTTTTTATAGATGGGTGCCGAGATATACGATCCTCGATTGTATATCCATTATGGCCCAAGGGATGCGAGTCTCTTAACCGATCAAGAAGCTCATCGCTCCCGTGCCATTTGGGATAACAATCCGGTAATTTGATGAACTGACTTGCTTTATTTTATTATTTTCTAATGTTTTATTTTGCTTTATTTAATCTAATAAATTGATGTTTTTCCTATTTTTTTTAGGAATCTCTTGTTCCCGTGGTTCATAAAGGGACCAATAACTTGCCCGCTTGGCATCCAAGTTTGGAGCCCTATATAGCGAGGACCGGTTTGGGAATGTTGCGCCATTTCTTGCGGATCGAGATCGACAACGATCTGCTTACGGCAATGGCGGAACGATGGCGTCCCGAAATCCATACATTCCACCTTCCGGAGGGGGAAATGACGATCACCCTCAAAGACGTGGCGATCCTCACCGGGCTTCCTATATCTGGAGATGCCATCATTGGTTCCACGACCAAACCCGGATGAGGTTGGGGGCCGCTCATCCGTGATCGTTTGGGCTTCGACATGCCGACCACCACACCAAATCAAGGACGGGGGAATCCAACGTTGAATGCGGGGCAAGTGTCGGTCCCGTGGCTGGTATCTCACATCCAGCAAGAGGTGGAAATCAATGACGAGACACCGGAAGAACAAGTCGAGCGCTACGCCCGCATCTACCTCATCGGTTTGGTGGGTGGATTTTTGTTCCCCGACAAGTCCAACCGGTGGATTCAAGGCATATGGTTGCCATTGCTCACCGGTGACTGGGATGCAATTGGAGAGAAGAGTTGGGGATCGGCCGTGCTAGCGGGCGTATACCGGGAGCTGTGTACTTGCTCGAAGGTTGGGGCAAAGCAAGCTGGTGCTGCGATGTTCATCGTTCAACTGTGGGTATGGGAGCATCTTCCAATGTTCGCACCTCTCGACCCACGTCCATACCGGAGAAACGATGATGAGCTCAACCTTCTGCAAAATCTCCCCTACGGTGTCAAGTAAGTTTATTTCGTACTTAGCCCAATTTAAATTTTATTACATGCTTGAGCTAGATTTAAATTGAATTTATTCCGTACTTAGCCCAATTTAAATTTTATTACATGCTTGAGCTAGATTTAAATTGAATTTATTCCATACTTAGCCCAATTTAAATTTTATTACATGCTTGAGCTAGATTTAAATTGAATTTATTCCGTACTTAGCCCAATTTAAATTTTATTACATGCTTGAGCTAGATTTAAATTGAATTTATTCCGTACTTAGCCCAATTTAATTTTGATTACATGCTTAACTAGATTTAAATTGAATTTATTCCGTACTTAGACCAATTTATTCCGTACTTATTTGCTTAGCGATATTTCAATTAAATTGATTCCGTACTTTTACTTACAAGGTGGATAGGAGCAAATACGAATGACCATCAACCTGAGCATTCGTTACTGTTTTATCGTTCTGAGTTAGATAAACCATGGTGGAATCAGGTAATCATGTTTTGTCCATATTTGAACAAGTTCAATTTTATCAAAGTAAATGGTCGTTAATTCCGAATTTTTGAATGAATATAGGTTATATGGGATCCATATCCACGTGAAGTGGTTGAGCTGCATCATCTTAGGCACCCTCTGGATCACGAGACGTGGTTGTGCAAGGTGCCATTGATCTGCTGGCACATTGTGGAATGGCACCTACCCGATCGATCCCTGAGGCAATATCGAATGGAGCAACCAATTCCACAAGACCCGCCAGCAGGTTTCAGGGAGCTACATGCTATGGACCTCCGAAACAATGCAAACTGGCAGCTAAAGCATGGATTCTACATCAACATCTGGGAGAATCGATCCCAATGGGTGGTGCAAGGGATGCCGGAGACGAGACCGATGGGCTACCACGATGGGTACATGCAGTGGTATCGGAAGTTCACCCTGAGATGGGTGGCAAAGCAAGGTGCTGTGATGGGTTCGTTGGTAAGTCATCCTAATCTCCCTCATTCTAAAATATATTTATTTTAAGGTTTAGTTAATTTGATATATTTTGTGCTTTCCTTAGGTTGATGGTTTGGAACACGCGAAGTACACTCTCGAAAGTGCTCCAACCATGGATGAGCGGAAGACTACTTGGTTGACCCGACTTATGAATAACCTCCTGAGTTGCACCAGAGAGCAAAGGAGGGATGTCGTGGCCTATCCTCCCGTTCCTGCCCCGGCACGACCCTCATTCCGTGATGATGCAGCCATTGTGCCCCAGGTTGAGCCCCCCACGAAGGAGCAAACGCAGGCCTTTGCCTACGTTCGAAGAGGTGCGTACCACTCAAGCAACCAAGCTCCCTGAACCGTTCGAGTACCAGTGGGCACCTGCAGCGGATGCCGGTGGAGGGTCATCGAGTCGTGGAGGATCTCAGGAATGGGACACTTTCTCTCATGGGTTCTCTCAATTCCAACATCAGCAACAAAGTTCGATGTTTCAGACCCCGCAACAACAAACTCCGAACCCCCGATCATTCGTCAAGCTACCGGTCCAACTCAGCCACCACCACCACCATATGTAACCCCAGTTGGGGCTCGGGTCAAGAGAAATCCGCGACCAGCCGTTGAGCGAGCCCGCCAAGAAGCAGCGGCGGAGGGGGGAAGAAGGGGTCGAGGACGTCGTGGAGGACGAGGAGGAAGAGGTGGAGATGGGGGCCAAAATGAAGCAAATGAGTGAATTTATCGTTTTATCCTGCAGTAGTGATCTATCCATGTTGTTTTGGTGCTTTTTAGGTGTTGTTATTTGAGTTTGCATTGTCTAAAAACTATCCTACGCACTTAAGTTGTCGAATGAATTTTCTGGATCATTTTATCAAGAATCAGTATCTTCCCTCAACACAAAAAAGTTGGAAAAATCAACCACGATCGCATAGAATTTTACAGATCCCAATTCCGAGTCCAAACGAGTGAGATAAGTGACGTCAAAGCGCGATCGTATCGTTAAGTAACTTTTGCGTACTAAAAACTAAAACGCGCGTATCTTATTCGTTTGAGGTCGAAATAACGAGCCGTTTGCGGCAGCGCGATCGTATCGACAAGGAAAAAATTTTATATTTAACAAAATACTTGGAATTCAAATGCAAACGGTAATGAAAAATTAAACAAGCGATCAATTTAGTAGCAGAATACAAGTAAATGCAAATTAAGTTGATGGTTGTCCTGGGCAACGCCTCTTGTCGTGACCAGGTTGTCTGCACTTAGAGTATCGCTTCGGTCCCCTTCTCGTCCGTTCAACTTGATCCATCTCATTGTGTATCCTTTCAACTCTAGGACGGCCTTTGGTGCGTTTTAGGTGCAACGGTGGGATATCAACTTTCCAGCGTATATAGGCCAATACGCTTCATCTGGCATGGGGCTCAAAGCTGCATTATATGAGTTCCGTATCGCTTGTTCAGTGTAGTAAGGACTCACCAGGCTGTTTCTGTTCATGGTTATTGACTTAGCAACCGCCATTGCATGTGAACAGGGTATCCTTTCGTTCTGATACTTTTGACAAGAACACTCCCCTAATTCGTAGTGCAATTTGACCGTTTGACGATTGTGACCACGTCTCCCTCCACCCCATATACCTGTTTCGACAGCGAATATTCCTTCACTGCGGTTAAAAAGAACAACCTTATGCTTACTTGATTTTTCATCGTTCTTCTGCATTTGAGCGAATACGTCATGTGCTACTGAATGACCTTGCAACTCCCTCCCTATAGCTAGCTGTAGCCGAGCAACTCGCCACTCGTTGACCTTCCAATAAGACATTTCCACGATGACAGAAATAGGCATCGCTCGAAGACCCTTGTACACATTATTTATACTTTCTCCATGGTTGGTAGTTGCAATACCCCATCTGGCCCCGTTGTCCATATGGAACGTCCACATGGGCAACTCTTGACCTTCAGCCCATACTGCTCCAGCTCGGTGGGTCTGACGGATCGTTTTCATCTTCTGCTCGTACTTTTTTGGTTGATGTGCAACCGCTAAAAGGTGAACAAAAGACTAACTGGTCAATACATGATGAATAACATCAGCTTATCAGCTTAATAAACACAAACTTAAATCGCATAAGAAAAACATTAGTACCTGCATTCCAAAGTAGATTTTTGATGTCTTTCTTCTTCCCAAATTTGTGTTGGAAATTGGCGAGCCAGTGTCGAATACACCATCTCCATCTCCACCCCCACTCGTCGGGAAAACCACCAACAGCATTCCTTATCCCCGCATGTCGATCGGATATAATCGTAATATCTTCCCGCTGTGTCACGTGTTCGTGCAGTTGGTCAAAGAACCAAGCCCAACTTAAGCTGTTCTCCCCTTCCACTAATGCAAATGCAAGCGGGAAAATCCGCCTGTTTCCATCAACGCCAGTGGCAATAAGAAGACATCCTCTGTACTTCCCAGTAAGGAAAGTTCCGTCAACCTGAATAAAAATTTAGGATATAATTAGTATGAAATATACTTAACAGCAAATAATACAACATTTAAAGCCGGAACTAGTTGGTAAAATACCTGAATAACCGGTATGCAGAACCCAAAACCGTCAATGCATGGTTTAAAAGCCCAAAAAAGACGATGGAACATCAGCTTATCCTGTACTCGAACTTGATCCTCAGTGTATACATTGTTGTATACTGGGACGAAAACAGTCCCAGGATTGGACTCCTCCATTGCTCCCATAAGTCTAGGGAGTAAAGCATACGAATCCTCCCAATCACCATACACCTCAGCCATGGCTTTCTGCTTACCATGCCATGCTTTTTTGTACCTTATCGTGTAAGAATGTCGATCCTTCACCTCTGCCATGATAGCTTTCACCTTGATATCTGGTTGTGCTTCTATAAGGTGCTTAATAGTTCTCCCAACCTTCTTTGCTTTTAGTTGCCTGTGATCTTGGGAAAGTATAGAAGAGGAGCATGTGTGGATCGTCTCAGCTTTGCGAATCACCCAAGCACCCTTTCTCTTCATATTTGCAGCCCGTAGTTGCCACGTACAACCCTCTGCATCATGCTTGCATATGACATGTAGTTGTTTACTGTCAGAATATTTTACCTTCCACTCGAAATTGCGCCTCAACGCCTCTTCTGTAAAAGCATCCTGCACAACGTCTTTCGATGTGAACGCCATACCCACCTCCAAATTGGCCGTCGGATTGTACACTGGCATAGGGACAAAGTCGGGGGGATCATTCTGACTATGTAAAAATTGAGTTGGAACCTGTGTGTAATATGGCGTGGGTGCCTCACGAAATGCCGCCTCATCCTCGTTATCATCAGTATCTTCCTCCTCCTCGCTCACTGATATCAAATCTTCCTCAGTATCCTCGTCGCTCGACTCGAATGGATAGCTCGGGCTAGAAGGATCAATATGACCACGATCACCAACATCGTCCTCTCGCTCATGTGAAGCACGCCCTGATCGAATGGTATTCTCGATTCCATACCACTCTGGCCCCCAAGCAGGCCATTGAACACCATCGGCCTCAACAAATGGGGCTGGTTTAGGAGGTTGCGAGTATTTGTCCCATCCTGCACTACTCGATCCACCGTAGTTGATTGAACCACCACCCTCCCCGTAACCTCCTGTATAACCACCGCCTTGGTAGTTGCTCGAACTACCACCCCATTCGTACCCTCCTGCAAAACCATCATCATAAGAATACTGGTGAGAATGAGATTCACCGAGCGCCTCGGTCTCAACATACACCTCTGCAAGCCGGACTTGGTTATCGCTTAGGAACTGTAACATCATCATAACCGCGTCATCATCGTTTATGACAACTTCTTGGAACACGACCCCGCCAGCACTCATGTCTGGATACCGGTAAGTAATTTTGCCAAGTCTCGCCTGTCCGCTCGTACAAACCCTTTCTGCACAAAGATCACAGAGTTCTTGAAAATTGAATCGGGAATCAATTTTCAGCATAATGGATTCGCCGTCCTCATAATCAATGCCTATGTCAGAGTTTGTCACCCTTCCATTCCACCGAATAGTAAGATGAAACTTCTTGAATTTACCCATATCTACAATTTACAATAAGTATCTATTAGCTTAAAGACAGTAAAATTAACCAAAATTATATTGTACAACTAATATTAAATCATACCATAACTAACGAAAATAAATTCAACTAACTAACAACAACATAATACGAAAATTAAATCATACTATAACTAACGAACATAAGTTCAACTAACTAACAACAACATAATACGAAAATTAAATCATACTATAACTACTAAAAACATAATTAGACTATAATACGAAAAGTCTCAACATACCGAAAAATTTATGTTCTGTGTATTATGCTCGATTTTGGCTGCTGAAATTTGAAGAAAGGGGAGTGGTTATGTTTTTACAACTGCTGGTGGTGTGCAATTTATAGGAAAATCTGCCTACTATTCACCGTTTTTGTCGAAAACGGTGAACACCATCACCGCGTTTGTCTCAAACGGTGAATAGGTGGTAGCTGCGACCTAATTTTGACCTACCAGGGGTGGGAAACGTGGGAAATTATCACCGCGTTACTTAACAATGATGAATGGGTTCACCGTTTTTGACCAAAACGGTGATGTGTTCACCGTTTTTGACCAAAACGGTGATGTGTTCACCGTTGTTAATTAACGCGGTGAAAACTTAACCGTTTTAGTTTGAAACGGTGAATACTTCACCGTTTTTGTTTAAAACGATGAAGTATTCACCGTGTTCGTCAAAAGCGGTGATGACCTTCACCGTTTTAGACAAAAGCGGTGATGCTCAAACATGTGTACTTTGGGAAATTTTTTTATAACTCATGTATTTTGGGAATTTTTTTTAAGAACGTGTGTACAGTGGTATTTTTCCCCAGAAACAATAGCCTTCTCTCTCGCCCTCTTCTCCCCAAGGCCAAGGATTGGGCCGGTTAGCCGGCGGTTATCGCCCTCGGTTAGCCGGTTAACCGCGATGCCTAACTCCCCTACCGAACACCGCCCGAGAACATAATTTTCGGTTAGTCGGTTAACCGGTAACCGCCGATTATTGGTTTAACCGGCCGGTTAACCGGCAACCAATAACCGAACCTCCAGCCCTAAAAATCCCCCCTCCCTCTCCATGTTGTGTGATGCACATCAGAATCAAATAAATGATGCAATTAATAGCATGTGAAGGATGAGTGGAGAGACAATTTGGTTTTGTTGTATTTTGATTGTTGTCTTTTACTTCTTTTGAGTGTGGTTCCGTTTCCTAACCTTATGGTATTAGAAGAGTCTTGTTTTACTTGGTTCTGTTTTGTAGTACAAGTGGTGGCCTAAAATCATTTGAGTTTTACCAAAATCATATCCACACAAGAATTGAGTAGTAAATCAAAATCATGTTCATAGGCAATTAGATTTTGGGTATCAATAGTTATTTATAGGTAATAATTTCTCTTTAAAAATCCAACCAACATATTAACGTTCACACATCTACTCATATGACATAAGTGGGAAAACACAACAAAAAATCATTAGGTAAAAATAACCCATTTCATGAAAATATTATATACGTATAGTAAATATCTAATATGTTAAGAAGAATAATGATCATTTCTAGAAAAATATATACATATATTCACTAGCTTTGTGCCCGGCCATTGGCCGGGTTTTTTTTTGTTATTGATAATTAATTAATTATTAAATTATTTCAGTTAATTAGTATTTTATAATTATGAGAACATAAGTTATATCCATAAAATATGTGTTTTTTTATCTGTAGAAGTTTGTGTCCGTGTTTCACACATTGAAAAAGATCAAGGGGTATGAAATACCTTGAGTACGAAAAATTATATCTAGATCTATTCTCAAACCCTTAAAGATTAAAATCTAGGTATGAATTCTATATATCTCATACCCTAAGATCACTTTCATTAGAAACAAAAATCGACGGCCATGATTCGTCGAAATATATGCAACAAATTACATTCACAATCTTAGGGGTTAGACTCTGTGATTCAGATAACTAATACCTAAGTTTCACTCATCAAGAGTTAGGGTATAGTATCATGCCAAAAAATTCGATAAATTCGAGGTATAGATGTTCGACAATCTAACTTTTTACACAATTTCAATGAGATTTTCCACTTAAGATGTCCGACCCTCAATCAATAAATTTTGATCCATAATGTAAGAACCTATACACACGTTGCTTTGTCAAGGGTCAAGAAAGTTAGTTATCAATGACTAATCAATTTGTATTCTCGCACTACTTAAGCTTGCACTTATTTATTAATTTCCTGTATTGATTTATCTTAAAAATACTTTTGAGCTTTGCTTATGCATACGTATCTCTTGCAGTAATTGTACCTGTATATTTGTTTGTAAAAATTTAATTCAGTTTTGAGAATGAATTAGCATCCCACTATATGTTTGGTTGAAATTATGAGCTCCATATGTCTATCTATTTATAAAGTATATGATTTTCAAAGTTACTCTTTTGTCACATCATCCATATTGAAGTTTTTATGAACACTCATTTTATTATAAAATTTATTATAATATTCCATTCTAAACTTTGAGTTATACCTATTCAAAAAAATATTTAGAAAATGGAGGTTTGGAGTTTATGACTTTTACCTTTTTTTTATAATGTTGATAACTTTGAGTTAACTGTCTAAAGTGGGAAAATAAAAAAAGATAACGGTATAAGAATTGTAGTTTAATGGGGGCTAAAAAATAGGGGAAATGATTTCGTTTTTTTTTCTCGTAGAGATAAATGAGAGAGAGAGGAAAAATGCCACCATGAAGCAAATTGCGGGTTAAAAAGAACAACGGGGTTTTCCATTTTTTACGGAAGTTGTTTCGGATGGCCGGATGGGTAAATTTTTTTGATAGAACGAATTGTGATTGGCTGATCTGTCTGCTGATGTGGAATAATAAGGAAAGAGTAAATTTGAAATGGTGAAGCCTTTTACGGGAAAGTGTTTAATATATTCTTTAGATGTGTATAATTTGACGACTTTAGGTTCGATAGTGTGAAAATCATACCCACCCATTACCTACAATATTCAGATTCAAATTTTATTCATATCCACTAAAAATCCTTTAGATTCAGATTTTACTCTCCCCGATTAGCTCGGATTAAGTTCATATCAGAACTCTTTACATTCCACAAAATGCACGCAAAGCGGAAGGTGCTGCTTGGCCAGCTTTAGTGTAGTAAAACGAAAGAAATTCCTCATAATGAAAGGGCCTGAACAGCAAGGGGTGTTCTTCGTCAACCATTTCTTCTGGGACTTCTATAATAGAGCCATCTTTTGGGTATGAGAATAAACCCAAAGAATATCTGGCCTCATTTCCAGACATCATAACTCGATGACACGTTGCACTAAGTCGATCATTCAACCACGCCTGCAAAACCACGTGTGAATCTATCTATCAATTTATAGAGGCAAAAATTATGTAGTTTACAATATGATTAAAGCAATAGAAGTACTTACAGTAAAAGATTCAGAAATCATAACGATGAAAGAGTTTGGAGTAGAGGGCTGGAATTTGATCCAACTGCCATCTTTGGTTTGCAGTTCCAGTCCCTCAACTTGATTCTGATGCAATATGGTTACCAAATTCTTGTCTGTGTGAGGGGAAAGACCGATTTCGGTATCAGGGGTGTTCGGCCCGTTGTATTTCGAGAACCGCAGTAGGTAATTTGTGGAGTTGAGTTGTTCATCGATGTATTTCTCAAGCCCAAAACTTTCCGCAATCATTTTCCTTACGGTTTTCTCCAGTTCTGAAAGTTTCTCCGCGTAGGACTCGATTGTTTTCCTGTCAAAAAGGTTTGATGATTGACATAATAATTAGTTTAGCCTCCCTCTTATGTATAGCTAATCCGTTTGTAACTGGGAATGGAAATAGGCAGGTCAGGTCAGGTTGGGTCCAATTCCTTGGTGATCGGGTTCAGATAAGGTAATCTATATAACTGGGCGTGCATCGGGTAATTTAAAAGGAAAACACTAAAAATATTTTTTATCAACAAATCCTGAAACAAACTATAATATAATAAGTGTAGTTAAGTTATTACAAAATTGAGGTTCTCACCTGTTTAAAACTTCATTATAGCCAAAAATATATGATGTAATAAAAGTAGAATTTTAAGCAAATTGAGTAAAATTACATAAATTTAAGTAGAAAAGAGTCAAAATAAAGCGGGTTAGGACAAGTTAGGTCGAGGAGAATACCTATGATCACATGGTGTATTCTTGAAGGTTGGGTTCCTGAAGGTTATAAAAATAGTAATTTAATTACCTGAAGGTTGGGTTCCCTTGAGGCCACATGGTGTTGGCAAAAGCTTCAACCCTTTCAGCCACCATGACTTCATCGATCCCCAAGCTCTCGTACAGCGGGACTTGAGCATGCTGCCCTACGTAACCGTGGTAGGGTTTCTCGGACACATTCTGCAGCTTGGACTCCAATGGCAGCTCGAAAACCTCGTCCATCGATCGGAAAACGGCTTTGAGAAGGTCCGAAGGAATCTTGTCGAAGCAGGCCTCGAAGCAGCCGTACTCTTCCAGCGCCTCGCGGACTTGTGATTTCAGAGATTCCCACTCTGAACTGCCTGATTTTGTGGATTCTGGCTTAGAGAAATCTAAGAGTGGGAGCTTGCTGGGACAAGATTGGGAACCCATTGTTGTATGTGTATTGTGTTTGCTATCCAAGTTGTTGTTCTGTTCTGGGACAGCTTTCCCCAGTCTGCATTTATAGCTGCAGCTGGCAGATTTATATTCGTTTTTAATGGAATTATTGCATAGGGAAAACTCATTAGACGGCAAAAACAGAGAATATGGGAAAGGGATATATGAACGGCGACAGAGGCCGTGAAAAGGAAAGGAATCAAAAAGAATAAAAATAAAGAAAGGAACACAACCACCCTTCTACTAGCTCTGATGTGAGATTAGAGATTCAACGGATAGACTAAGGCCGCCTCGAATGGGTTCTGACTTCTGAGGACAGACATTATTGGATGTTATATATTAATCAAAAAAGCAAGGTCGTCACTGTCAATCTCCTTTGTGACAAGAAGCACTTGTAAGTAGTAAACGAGTCGAGTTGAGTCGAGTCGAGTTTTTGTTTAACTTGAACTCGGCTCATTTATGAATTTTTCAGTTTGAGCTCGGCTCGACACGAGTTTTGATAATCCAGCTCTAGCTCGTGCTCGGCGTGAATAAAGATAATGTAGTTTGAGCTCGACTCGGTAGAGCTCGGTAAATGCACATTAACCCAACTTTTCAACCTGAGTAAAAGCTAGCTCGATTTGAATTATTCTTGCTGGAAAATGTGTAAACATAAGAATTTATAGAAACTAAAAATGACGGCTAACTTTCGTATACATTCGTATTAACAAGATAATGCTTGTGTTCAGAAGAGTAATTAATCATTCTACAAGCTCTAAACAAGTCAAGTCGCGAGCTTAGCTCAACAAGCCACCGAGTCAATCTACCTCACGAGCTTATCAAGCTGAGCGTGGTCTAACTCAAGCTTGGCTAGTTTGCTAACAAGACTGCTCGCGATCGAGTCGGCTTGTTAAATAACTAGATGAGTGTCGAACGAGTTTTTCGATTTGAATGTCGAGTTACTCGTGAACGGCTTGGCTCATTTGCAGCCCTAACCACCCGTTTAAATTTTGATAGAGTCATCCAATTAATAAATTATATTATGGGAAATGATATGGTACAAAATCCTATCCTACAAAACCCTGCCAAACCACATCTCCATCCGTCCAATACTAATATTCGTGTTGTTGTTGTTGTTGTGTTAGACTGTTAGCTATGGAAGTTGTTGTTCTGGGCCAGCTTTCCCCATTTGTGTCTACGTTTATAGCTGCAGCTGGCCGATTTATAATATTCGTGTTAATGGAATTATTGCATAGGAACAATCATTAGACGGCAAAAACGGAGAAAATGTGAAAGCGAGGGGTAACAAAATGACCACAAACGTTTAAAACGGAACAAAATGATCACATAAGTATCACGATATAACAAAACAGTCATTGTGTCTTGTTTTATCTATATTTATATCCAAAATTAGCTTGTTGAAATAGTACAAAATTAATTAAAAAAATATAAGACACCTGACAAACCCATAAAACTACATCTTTTCTAGAGAAAGCTAACTTGTCTTTGAATGAAAATGTGAATGAAAAAATATAGAATAGCTATTTTGTTATATCGTGATAATTGTGTGATCTTATTGTTACATTTTAAACAGTTGTATGCATGCATGGCGACAGAAGCTTTGAGACGAAACAGATCGATCACTCAAAGTCAAAGGCGAAAAGGAAAGAAATGAAAAAAAAAAAAATAGAAGAAAGGAATACAAGCACAGGTTGACTTGCTCTGAAGTGCGATTAGAGATCAAGGGATAGACTACAAGGCCGGCCAGGATGGGTTCTGACTTCTGAGGACATATTATTGGATGTTATATGTGAACTATTCGACAACGTTACTGTCAATCGCCCCTTGTAAGTTACTAAAGTTTGATTGAGTCGTCCAATTAATGAATTACTAGTTTTTTATCCCGTGCTTCGTAGCGGTAAGAAACTAATTATATTCAAAATTTTATTCATTTATAAATATATTTAGTTGAAATTAAATAATTCTCAAAATCCGGATAAGTTATATTCATAAGTTTTACGCAGTGTCTGGATCAGTGAGAATGAATTACGTCATAAGGTTGTTCGAATGATCATTAGAAATAACTATCCCTTAGTAAGTTCTATGTAATATACTCGACAAAAATAAGGAGATTTAGGGACAAAGATAAAGGACAACTCCCTGCACTCGTCTCCGGAAATCTTAATTGTAGTCAAATAGGGGACAAATTGATAAAATTGTCCTCAAAAGCAAAAGAACATGGAAATTGGTATTCCGGGCCGTCCCCGAAACAATTTGTTTTCAGCGGGTGAATCGCCCGGGCTATGAAAAATTAAGTTATTGAATTTTTGGCTCTACCAATAAAAGAATTACGAAACTTCACCACTCTTTACTCCAAACCCACACAAAGGGATATATTCTCTTCTCCTTTGTTTCCCTAACCCTACCTACAACTACAGGGTAGCCGAGATACTTATGGCGCCGTCTCCGTCTCCGTCTCCGTCATTTCTATACCTATGCAGACTGCATTGGTATTCTCTTGTTAGCTTCATATAATTTCCTTGACTTTATGTAAAAATCGACGAAGCAGAAAGGAAAAGAGGAACACTACACGCGATTTACGTGGTTTCCCCGTTCGATGTGAACGAGATTACTCCACGGAGAGCTTGAAGCTCTCGGGCTGAAATTTTATTTCTCCTTTTCTGTTCTTGTTTTCGGCTGCTGCCCTAGCCGATAGTTTTAAACTAAAACAACCCTAGCTCTCCTAAAACACATGCAACGTGGAGAGAGGGAAAATTACAACATGATCCCTAATTTTAATGGACAGTAAATTAGAAATCACTACACTCCCCCTCAAGCGAAGGAGTGAATGTCAAGAAGTCCGAACTTGACGTAGAGATGATGAAACTGATCAACACTCAATCCCTTCGTGAACAAGTCAGCGGGTTGTTCGGAGATTGCAATCTTAGCAGGGGAAATCTCAAGAGATTGAACACGCTCCCGAACAAAGTGGCAATCCATCTCAACATGTTTGATGCGCTCGTGAAAGACCGGGTTGGCAGCAATGTGAAACGCCGCCTGATTATCACAGTATAACACGGTGGGACCGGAGGAGGGGACCCCGAGATCACGGAGTAACCAGCGAAGCCAGATAAGCTCACTAACAGTACTGGCCATTGCTCGGTACTCGGCTTCAGAGAGGAGTGAGCAACAACAATCTGCTTCTTTGTCCGCCAAGAAATTGGTGAACCGCCAAGAGTGATGAAGAAACCTGTTGTAGAGCGCAAAAACCTGTCAACGTCAAAGGGGAAGTGGCCGAGAGGAAAAGTCCACGACCGGGAGACCCTTTGAGATAACTAAGGATGTGAACTGCGGCATCCTCGTGAGCCTGAGTAGGGGGCTGCATAGCTTGGCTGAGAAGGTTGACGGCATACACGATATCAGGTCGAGTAACCATCAAATACAGCAGTTGACCAACAAGGCGCCTATAGGCCTCGGGATCACGCGCTGGGGGGGGGGGGGATCGTGCCCCAAACGGTGTTGTTGCTCAATCGGAGTCGAGCAAGGACGAGCTTCCGTTAATCCGGCATCAGTGAGGATATCCAATACGTACTTCCGCTGATTTAAAACCATCCCCTTCGGAGAACGAGCAACCTCTATCCCAAGGAAGTACTTGAGAGTCCCCAAGTCCTTGATAGTAAACCGATTATGAAGGAGGGTTTTAACCTGCTGGATGAAAGAGAGATCGTTGCCACTGAGAATCACATCATCAACATAAATGAGTGCCACGACAAATGTATCTCCATGCCGGTAAGTAAACAGATGGTGATCAGCCCACTCTGCACAAACTGAAATTCAAGTAACACCTGCGTAAACTTTTGATACCAATTCCTAGAGGCTTGCCGCAATCCATAAAGGGACTTGTTCAATCGGCATACTCTAGTGTCACCAGGACGGGAAAAACCTTGCGGGACCTTCATATAGACCTCTTCCTGCAGATCGCCATGAAGAAAGGCATTATTAAAATCAAGCTGGTGAATGTGCCACCCTATGTTAAGAGCAACGACAAGGAGGTATCGAACAGTGACCAACTTGGCAACCGGTGCATAAGTATTGTGATAATCCACCCCTTCTATTTGGTGAACCCTTTAGCGACAAGACGCGCCTTGTAGCGCTCAACGGAGCCATCCGGGTTGAACTTAATCTTGTAAACCCACTTACAGTCAATAGCCTTCTTTCCTAGAGGAAGATAAACCAAATTCCAGGTGCCATTGGCCTCAAGAGCGGTGATTTCAACCTGTATGGCATCGCGCCATTGCTTGTAACGGACTGCCTGGAAAAAATACCGTGGTTCATCAATAGCCGTGACCGCCGCGACAAAGGCATGATGGGCAGCCGAGAGATGATGATAACTAAGGTAATCATCCAAAGGATATGTCGAGGTAGCAGAATGAGCAGCGCCAGGCAATTGAACATCATAGCCAGCGAGCCGAGTAGAGGGATATCTAACTCGATCACCGCAGCGAGGTGGTGGAGGCTCCGGAATAGGTGATGAGGCATCAGCGTCCATGGGCGAGGAGGCAGCGACGTCCGTGGCCGGCGGGATCCGATAGTGGGGGACGTAGGTGAGTTGGCCTCCTCGGAAGACCCAGAAGCCGTATCAGTGGAAGGGGAAGACTCGGCTTCTGCCGATGAAGTGGGAACCAGCTGCGGCTAGGAGTAAGCAACATCATCATCGACAGGATGCGGAGTCATAAAGGAAGGGCCGGATACGGTAGTCGGATCAAGCTTGGAGGCATCGAGATCATGGAAGGGATAGACATTATGGAGAAATTTGACGTCACGGGAAGTGTAGAGTTGCTTCTTCTCAAGATCATACACTCGATAACCACGTTGACCAGAAGGATAACCCATAAAAACACCTGATCTTCCCCTCTCGCCAAACTTATGGAGGCCCTAGTGATTGTCTCGAGCATAAACCAGGCACCCGAAGCTGCGTAGGTGACTGTACGTGGGATCCTTGCCAAACAAGACATGAAATGGCGTTTTGTTCCCTATCAAAGTCAACGGCATTCGGTTAATCAGATAAGCTGCTTTGAGAACG